TATATATATATATATATATATATATATATATAGTCATGGGTAGTTGTTGATGGCATTAGCATTAAATGAAATTAAAATTAGAGTTACTCATTCCTGTATAAATCCTGTCATAAACACGTCATCTCAAGGAACTTTACAGAGACAATTCAACCAGATCATACAGTCAAAAAAATTCAAAGTGTTCTAAGGGAAACTAGTTGATTGCATCTGTGAATTCTTCATAAGTTTTAATGAGTTGCATAGTTGTTTTCATGTCATTACCCTCGGGGCAGTTTTACATTTTTTCTTTTGTTTGAGTTTCCAAGTTGGATTTCCGTCCTGCTGCAGCTTGGAGAACAACCGCCCATTAACTTCCTTTAGCTGAGTGAGGAAGCCATGGAAATTACGATGGATTCTGGTTCAGCCCTGCAGATTCAATCTGTATTCGATCTGTCTTCACACACTCAGAAAAAAAAGTCAAAAACAGTTACAAATTTTTTAAAAATGTTGATCAAGGGCCTTCTTAGATCAATAATCAGAGGTTGTAAATTAGAGAGAGGATGGAAGATAATCCTTATTGATTCTGGAGACAAAAACAATAGAAAAAAGCACTATATAAGGAGTTAAACTGAATCACATATTTTTTTTAATGAATCAGAAAGAATAGAATTAATAAAAACTGTCAAGTGTAATTTTATTTGAACCAGATCATATAAAAATAATGCAGGATAAAAGAGGATCAAGTGACCCTGCAAAAGAAGCGCATTGCTAATTGTGATGAAGATATGAGTTAAACCAAAGAAAATAGAAATTTTCAAGACAAATAAAATGTAAGTCCTCAGGTTTCCCTTCACGTTTATTCAGTTTCTGTCTGACTAGATAAAAAAATTAAAGGAACTAAGCCTAAAATCTGACTTCAAAATGAAAGTAACACGATTCTGCTTTTGGCCGTTTTAAGGGTCAAACCACCATATAAATTGTGTTTAAATAAATAAATAGTGTTTAAACTATTTTAATTTGTTAGTATGTTGAAAATGTATGCAAGCCCTACATTTAAGATTAGTTTGTGGCTATTAGTTAGTTTTTTGGGTGCGATGAAAAGCTTTGACAACTCTTTCCCTAATATTTTTATCTCTTATAGGTAACATTGGGAGTTAAAAAAATACTGTGTAAATAGGATAACTTTGAAGACTATAACAGTGTTTTTGAATTCTTTCTTGTTTTTGGTGTAAATGTTTTAAAAGTAACAATTTGATTTAGTATTTCAACATAAATACATTACTTTCGATATAAATATTAAAAAAAAATATATCAAAGCAGTTTAAAATTTTATATAGCAGCATATTCCACACTTTAGCCATGACAGGATACAGTTTCAGATATCAAAAACACCTTAGCACAGGAAAAGCACATATAGACATGAGACAAACATTTCAGCAGAGGGTCACATCTGAGGCTGGAGCCTAATGAAAGTCAACCTGAGCATTAGCTGTGTGTTAAATTTGTCCATGAACACTGTCCACTGGCCATTGTCATTGATAAGTTGGAAGTTTATCGACTGGTACTGCAGTTCTGGACATATCCACAGCTGTTCACGGGTAGGTAGCTGTAGCTGTTTGCATTAACATCCAGGGGAAGTATGAAAAGGGGGAGGCCGAATCCAAAATTACACTTATTGTTTTCAGAGCAGGCTGCACAGGAATTTTCCATCAGCCTTGATTCTTTTCTTGCTGGTTCTACATGGCGAATCCAATATTCAAAAATTTTTTGGGCTTTTCTGCCTGGAAGCGAGCGCACACATCCAAGATATTATCCCATCTCACCTTTGATATCAACCACCGCAGCCGGCCTGCATTTAATCGCACCCAGCATAAGGCTCAGCTCCCGGTCCTGTTCATTCACAGCCTTTGTGAGCGCGTCAACCGCTGCCGGCAGCCTGATCAATGCCCAAATTGCCGCCGACATCCTCTGTAATTGTAGATACATCAGGTATCCTCCAAATCCAAACAGGAGAAATACTAGTATTATAAATCCGAAAATCCATGCATCCTCGATGTCCTCCAGTGACAGCGCTGTGAAACACTCCATCCTCCAAGCCTTCCATGAGTCCATGGTGTTTCTCACGAAGTATGTCCCGGCAGAACAGAAAGGGTCCCTTTTTCCTGTCTTCCAGTTGAGAAAATTTTATCAATTTTGTTGAGAGTCTTCCAGTTGAGAAAATTTAATCAATTTTGTTGAGAGACCAGCTGACCTGATTCATTGTTTGAATTCAGGTGACATTAAAAGAGGGCTGAGAAAAGACTAGACCCAGCAAAGAAGGGACAGATCAACGAGTTGCAGAGCAGCAGGAAGATGCAACCGCCCCCTTCAAGAGTCAGTTTGCAATGATGGGTGTCAAAGAATATTACCACTTTGACATTTTAATAAAATAAACCCCCAGAAGTATTCAAATATAAAATGTAAGAAGCACAGGTTTAACTGCGAGGAAGATTAGTGAGAGGGTGAATACAGAGATTAAGCAAGAAGCCCATTTAAGACAACTGCAATTTTCTACTCCAGTGTTTCCCAACTGTTGGTACGCATACCCCTGGTGGTCTGCGAGTGCATTGCAAGGGGTACATGAAAATATTTTATTTTAAGGCTGGGATCTGTATTGCTTTGTGAGGACCCAATAAAAAAAAATAACAAGCTTTTATCAACCTAAAAGTAAGTTTTATCTTTGAGTTCACCTTCATCTTTGACACACATCCAAACCAAGCAGAGGAACAGACTGGATGTAGAAAACAGCCAGAGATCAGCTGTGTTTCACACAGAGCCATTGGAGCTCAAAGCAGCTCGGGTGTCCCAATTCATCCATTTTAAATGTAAATATAACGGGATTACTCAGAGGAGCTCCAGTTTAATAATATGATTTTATTGTGTATTTATTTCTATTCCTTACTAACTTCCAGGCATCATTTTTAAGTTGTTTTTTTATTTGATATAGAAAGCATAATTATTGAAACTAAATGCTTAAATTAAAAGAGATAGATTAGATTACAAAATAATAAGAGAGCAGTGCAGCCAAGAGAAACTCTACGAAATTAAGAGAACGGATTGCTTGGAATAAATGACTACAGTTGAATAAAAGAAAATTCAAATTAGTTCACTTTATTTATGTAGCACCAATTCACAACACATCTCATCTCAAGGCACTTTACAATTCACAAGGTCATACAATTGAAAAATTTAAGTATAGGTTATAAATTGCGGTTGGTGTTCCTGATCGATTTTAGGCCAGCAGTGAAGGCTTTGAAGGCCTTGACCCCCCACCACTGGAAAACTAGTGAGTCAAAAGGTTTTTTTCTCTTTGACAAAGAGCCCTGTGAATGCAAACCGCACCAGATGAATATTATAAAAATTTAGCAATTTTGGTCCGCTATCTCTCCCAGTCAGCCAGACTATCAGGTGCAAAAAAAGAAAGAATCACCTGATGACTGTGACCTGTTTTAGCAGGATTAGAGGGAGCTAAGAAGGAAGAGAGTTTCAGGGAAGGTCTAAAGAACACCAGAGCTGGTTTGAAATGTTGGACTCCAAACCTTCAAGAAATCAATTCAGTAGGTCTTCTGGCATGACCTGGACATTAAAGACTCCTGCTTTCTACAATCTACTGACCCTTATTAAATCCAAACCATCTGAAACCAACGGGAAATCGCCTTTATCACAGAGG